GGGGGAGGGGGAGGGGAGGGGAAGGGAGGGGAAGGGAAGGGAAGGGAAGGGAAGGGAAGGGAGGGAGAGAGAGAGGAAGAGAGGGGGAGAGAGAGGGAAAAAGAGGGGGAGAGTAAGAGAAATAAAGTAAGATAGAGAGAGAGGGAGAGTAAGAGAGTAAGAGAACAACTCAAATTTTTGAAAACCAGAAAATCTAATTTATTTACTCTAATTATTAAACTCTAATCAAACTACCCATTATTCTCTTCACACCTCTTCCAGTTCCTGAGTTTTATTTCATGGATTTCAGAGTTCTAAAATTCACAGGAAAACCTGAGATCTATTGATATTTCTTTGGGTCAAACAGAAAAGTAAAACTAAAGTATACTGAAATCATTTATGTACATCTTCATGGCATAGATTCCTTATAAGTTATTGGCATTAAGGCATTGAAGAGATCCCCAACACACACACACACACACACACACACACACACACACGTAGAAAGGGATGCAAAAGAATAAGGACATTGGCTTGGGTTGTGGCTCAGCGGTAGAGTGCTTGCCTAGCACATGCAAGGTCCTGGGTTTGATCCTCAACACCACATACAAATAAATAAAATAAAGGTATTGTGTCCAACTACAACTAAAAAACAAATATTTAAAAAAAGAGAATAAAGACATCAGAGAATTCATACATAAGCTATTCAAAATCACTGGTATGCAGTCCAAGCGTAGAAAAGCATGCCTAAAATTACCATCATGAAGAATAAGATAAAATTTATGCCTATACTGACTCTGTGTCATAATCAGTCCCTATTGTAGCATTCTCAGAAGGATCCCATCCATGATATACATAATAACTGCAGGTACATTTGAATGCAGGTATGCTTTGTAATTCACTCTGAATTCCTCTGAGATTGTTATCTCCTTGTTGCTCTCTTTCAAGCTGGGAAAATCTTACACCTAGGAGATATCTCCATTTTGCCACACTTTTTGTTTTTTCTGCAGATAACAATGTCGGACTCCTTAACGCCTAAAGGGAAAGCTACTTCTGACCTCCTACAAGATCCTCTCACTTCTGTCCTGTGATTGGGGTGGATCTTCTGGCAGAAGGGAAGGGCATTTGTCATGAGGATTCAGTCAAGTTATGAAGTTGCTTTATTAGCATTTCTGAACTGACTGTATGAGAGTCCACTGAATCTTTGAGACATTTTTTAAAAAATTTTTATATCAGAAAGACTCCTGTGTCAAGGTTGGGTTAAATTTTTGCAATGGGTCCATTGGGAGGTGCGTGGAACTCTCAAAAATTTGCTCCACAGTTGCCTGAGAGGAAAAAAAAATGTAGCCCTGAAAGAGGCTAAAATCTCGAACTTCAATAGATTGTGAAACGAGCAATCAAGACAGATCATTTTAAACAAAGCTCTTCAATGAGAATTTCCCTGAAGCACATATAATCTATCTGTACTTCAAAAATCTGACTTCACATTGAAAACTTAAGTTATTAAACTAATTTCCCAAATAATGGTTTTATTGAGCTACAATTCACATATCATACAACCAATTCACCCTTTGAAGTGTACAACTCAGGAATTTTTCGTATATTCAGAGTTGTAAATATTCATTTATTTTTAATTAAAAAATTTTTTTAGTTGTAGATGGACACAATATCTTTATTTTATTTATTTTTATGTGGTGCTGAGGATTGAATCCAGTGTCTGACACATGCCAGGCAGGCACTCTACTACTGAGCCACAACCCCAACCCTTCATTTATTTTTAATTAACAAAGAAAATGTATTGGTTTTCCTTTTGGTACTGGGAATTGAACCCAGGAGCACTTTACCACTGATCTACATCCCCAGCCCTTTTTATTTATTAAATTTTGAGATACAGTCTTGTTAAGTTGCTGAGCCTGGCCTCAAACTTTGATCCTGAGCAAGTCGTGACCCTGAGTTGCTGATATTACAGGCCTGTGTGCCACTGTGTCCGGCCATATTGGTTTTCATTTAAAATCTAGAGCTGTGGTTCCCAGTCCTAGTCCTAGAGACTTTTAATGCCCTAGCGAAATAAATAAGAATATATGGAGGCAGAACTTAGTCACTGATATTATTAAAAAGCTCTCTAGGTATTTCTATGGTACAATCAAAGGACGGTGAATGTTGATACATAGCACGAATACTTGGTGTTAGTAATATGCTAATCCTTTTTCTTCTTCCTGGTATTATGGACTAAATCCAGAGGCTTCTACCACTGGATTACATCTATAGCCCTTTTTAATTTTTTAAGCGTCTTTCTAAGTTGCCAAAGTTAGCCTTGAACTTGGGATCCTCCTGACTCAGGCTTCCCAGTTGCTGGGATTATAGGTGTGTGCCTCTGTGCCCAGTTCTTATTTATTTTTACTTCTATACTCAGTAAATATTTGCTGATCTAAAGAAGTGAGAAAGACTGACCCTGTATGTCCATTAGGTATCTAATATGGTCATAAGAACACATCATCATGAGAGGGAAATGCATGGGCTTAAAGTACTGGTCTTAGAGTCAGAAAAGACCTGTTCAAGCCCCAGTCATATTGACTCTAGTTCTTGTTAAATGAAAAGCAATCTGGGACATTTATATGTATGCATACAGTTACAGTAGTATATATGAAACAGTACCCCAAATTCATAGAGACTGATAATGAATGGCCACAAGAGGGCACTTTTACAATGGAAAGGGACAACAATTTTATTTTCTTTAAATGCTTAATTTGAGTAAGTGTTAAGCACATACTTTCAACCTTTTGAAGAGAAATTTCTATTCCAAGTTCTTTATTATTATTATTGCCAGTACTAGAGATTGAACACAGGGGAACTCTACCATGGAGTCTTTTTTGTTTAATTATTTTGGTATTGGTGATTGAACCCAGAGGTGCTTTATCAATGAGTGAAATCCCTAGCCCTATTTCTTTTTATTTAATTTTATTTTTGCACTGAGTATTAAACTCAGGGCACTGAACCTCTGAGCCACATCCTCAGCCCTTTATTTATTTTTTATTTTAAATGTTGAGATGCAGTCTCAGTAAGTTGCTTAGAGCCTTGCTAAATTGCTGAGGCTGTCTTTGAACTTGTGATCTTCCTGACTTATCACGCATCACTGTGTCTGGCTTTTATTTTTTATTTTGAAACAAGGTCTTGCTAAGTTGATTAGGGCCTTGCTGAATGGCTGAGTTTGGCCTCAGACTTGCAATCCTCCTGTTTTAGCCTACTGAGTAACTGGGATTATAGGTATGTGCCACTATTCCTGGACAAATCTTTTATTTTTTTTCTATAGTCATGAGTTTGCCAGATGCTCATAGTAAGAGTGTTTATTGATAACTTAGATTCCAAACTTCTTAACTAGAAAGTCAATGCATCTAGTACTTAGTGAGTCCTTAAACTACCAAATGTGGATTAAAATGATTGGCAATAAAAATGCCATTTGAACACAGGGTGTAACGAATGTGCTTAAAGCCATATGCCAGGTCTCGAAAAACTGCTTGTGATACACAGACACCAGGTTTCTTTCTAATCATCTCCATTTTTAACTGCCACATTTTAGTACATCATATAGTTTGGCACATATAACAATAGTTGTACTTTAAAATGAAGCCTAACAGTTCCATTTAGTTACTATTAGAAACAAAATGTCAGTATCCTGCTGGGCGAAGTGGTGTACCTCTGAAATCCCAGAGGCCCAGGAGGCTGAGGCAGGAGGATCATGAGTTCAAAGCCAGCCTCCGCAATTTAGTGAGGACCTAAGCAACTCAGTGAGACCCTGTCTCTAAATAAAAATACAAAAAGGGCTGGGGATGTGGCTCAGTGGTTAAGTGTCAGTATCATACTGGGTATAGTGGCATATGTAAGTAATCCCACTGACTTGGAGGCTGAGGCAGGAGAATTGAAAATTCCAGGCCAGTCTCTGCAATTTAGTGAGTCTCTGTCTCAAAATAAAAAATAAAAAATACTGGGGATGTAGTTCAGTGGTAGAGCAACTCTTGGTTCAATACTGGTAAAAAAAAAAATTTTAAAAGACAAAAAACAAAAAAGTCAGCATCTCTACCTAAAGAGATTTCCTTGATCAGTTCAGCAGCAGCATGGCAACCCTGTACCAGTATCCTGGTCCAAGTGGAAAGATCCCGATGTGTCTCCACCCTGAAGAGATGCATCTCAATGCCCTGCCGAGAGCCTGTCCTGGTGGCAAATGTAAGGTCAGATCCAAGGGAAGGTGATCGACATCCAGAGCCAGAATGAACCAACCTAGGACCAAAATGGAGCAGAGATCAAAACTAATTAGTGCATTATAGAAAGAATGTCATGGATTTATGCTCATTGATAAACAGAAATTTATAAAAGCCAGCAACAGTTTTCTAATAAGTATATTTCAAAGCAAGATAGTAGACACTATTTCCATTTTCTCCTAAAATGACCCCTAATGATTGACATCTGAAGACAAGATACCGTCTTTCATAAAGAAAACACCACAGTGGCACACGCCTATAATCCTAGTGAAGTGGGAGGCCAGCCTCAGCAATTTAGCAAGGCAAGGCCCTAAGCAACCTAGTGAGACCCAGTTTTAAAATAAAAAGTTCTGGGGATGTGGCTCAGTGGTAAAGCACCCCTGGGTTCAATCCCTAGTGCCTGCAAAAGGAACTATGTATAAACAGAAGAATGAATAAAGAAAAATTCTATGCTCTATTCTAAACAGTGGAATATTATTCAGCTTAAATATTATTCAGTGAAATCTGTCACCTGGATGAACTTCAAGACATTATGTTAAATGAAATGAGTGAGTCACAAAGACAAATACTACACCATTTTATTTATATGAAGTATACAAAGTAATTCCAGAATTCTAATTTTTTTTGAAAGCTAGAATGTTATCATTGGCAACAAATATTATCACTATTTTTCATGACAGTCTCATTTTGGTCATTTTAGAATAAGTGTATGACAAATACCCAAGCCTGACTAACCATAGTATGGCAGTTAGTAGGTCTTCCCAATTAAAAAATGGTGATCCATGAGGAAAACATCAAGTTCAGCTCACTACTCAATCATACATGTGCTTTTCCTTGAGACAATAGCAGATCATACTTCAGTATGAGTCAGAAGTGTTCTCTGGGGCCAGGTGTGGGTGACAAGGGTATCCTACATATTTAGTTTGATTGGATATCCCAAGTCAGAATTATAAAATAGTTTAGGAGAATTTTTTTCCCCACAGATTTGATTATGAAATATTTTGGGCAGGAAATCTAATTCAAACCAGCTGCTGAACTCTCATTGAGCAGAGTTGGTTAGGATACATTGCCAAAAGGCCCCTCTTTGGGGGAGGCCAGATGAGCTCATGCAAAGGCATTTTAGCAGTCTTTGCTCCATACTAGCATGTGCACACACTAACTCAATTTTCTACACTGTAAAATATTTTTTAAAATATTTTTTTTAGTTGTAGTTGGACACAATACCTTTATTTTATTTATTTATTTTTATGTGGTGCTGTGGATCGAACCCAGTGCCTCCTCGCACATGCTAGGCAAGCACTCTACCGCTGAGCCAGAACCCCAGCCCCTACACTGTAAAATATTCACTTTCTTTGAGCACTTTTTCTGTTCCAGTCAAAGAAAGCTTATAGGAAAATACTACAAAATCCACAGCACTTATGAAACCAATATAGTTTTCCACCTGCATCATATACCTGTCTTTAACCTCTTTGATACTTTTTAAAATGGGCCCACTATTCTGACTTCCCAACATGCTTTCACTTTTTTAAAAAAATATTTATTTTCTAGTTGTAGTTGGACACAATACCTTTATTTTATTTATTTATTTATTTATTTGGTGCTGAGGATCAAACCCAGGGCCTTGCACATGCTAGGCGAGTGCTCTACCACTGAGCCACAACCCCAGCCCAAACTTCTTCAAATTTTAATTAAAAAAAAAAAAAAAAAAAAAAAAAGTTTTCCCTGGTATGGTGGTGCACACTTATAATCCCAGTGACTCAGGAGTCCATGGCAGCACCACATTCTAATTTAGCAAATTTTTATCATCCCCAAAAGAAATCTTATGCATATTGCCACCTTAACCCTTGTAACCACTAATATGCTGTCTTCATAGATTTGCATATTCTGAATATTTCATATAAATGTAATGGTATAATATGTGGTACTTCATATTTCAAAGTTCATCCATGTTTTAGCATATATGAGAACTTTTTAAATTACAAAACAATATTCTGTTACATATATATCACTTTTTTTCACATGTTGTTTATCCAACAAAGTTTTTGGATAAACTACCATTTATCATCAGTTGACAGACATTTGGGGTGTTTCCATTTTGGGGTTATTGTGAATAATACTGATATGAATATTGGGTATAATTTTCTATGTGGACATAAGTTTTCATTTCTCTTGGGTATATAATGTAAGAGTGGAATTACTGGGTGACTCAGGCTGGAGATATAGCTCAGTGGAGAGCACTTTCCTAGCATGTGTACAAGGCCGCAGGTACCACAAAAAAAGGGAAAAAAATGTTAAGCCTAAAGTTACCCTCTTTGTTTTATCAGAATTAGAATACAGGACTCTTCCACACAGTCATAGTCACAAGTTCTAAATCTCTGGAAAATATGAACTTAATTGCTCTAATTATAACTACTGAAATATATCCATATATTTTTATAGGATTCCTGTCATGTTCCCAAAGTAACTGTAAAATAATAACTACAATTTAAGCAGGAGAACTTAGATTTATTGGTAGCTTTTTATATACAAAGCATCCTAGGAAATCCTAAAATGACAAAGTAATAGTTCCTCGCTTCAATGAGATTATAATTTAGTTTGCATAAATAAACTGCAAAGAAACTGATGGTTAAATTCAATCTTCTGCAGGTCTCTTCTTTCTTGAAGAAATTAAGAAAAGCATGCCTCTAATTCTGAGGCTCAAAAGATCCTTTATCTATTCTGCAATCTATGAGCTCCAGCTCTAAATTACAGAGGATATTCCTAGAAAGCTACATGAGAATATTTTTATAAAAAGAACAATACATGTAAAAGAATTTGGCAAGTTGAAGGAGATTCTATATAAAGTACAAGTCTTTTAATGCAAAGAATACTCTTTCTTACATGGATCTTTATCTGTTCAAAGCAGGAAATCCTTTGTTCCCTATGGATATTATACCAGATAGTTCTGTCATTTTGCTCTTTCAACATTAGTTTTCTGTGGGGCTCTTTGTGTAGTTATTTCAACACCTGATTCTTTCCCCCCCAACTTCTTTTCTTGGCAGTGCTGGGGATTGAACCCAGGGCCTCACCACAAGGCTAAGCAAACAATTTACTTTACTACTGAGTTGCATCCCCAGTTTAACATCTGATTCTTTTTTAAACCCAAGTAAAATTGAATTCGAATGTTTTCTTGTTTTACAGTTATACACTTTAAGACATTCTGCCCTCCAAATCTAAATTTCTTTATTCCTATTCTCTTCCAACTCCCCATGTATGGTATGCTGAAAACATTCTGTTGCTTTAGGTCAAAACAATGTTTATTTGATGGAATCAAAATTATATGTTCTTATATTAAAAAGAGAAGTGAAAATATTTTGGCTAAATTTTGTGGTTTATCCATGATACCACATTTGGTTTTAAATGATTTGATCACCCAGTCAAAAGGCTGCTACAATTTCAGTGGTTTTCTACTCAGTCAATAAAATAAAGAAAAAACCCTATTATCTCTGTGACTAAGCAAATTTTGAAGGGAGTGGTTAGGAAGTTGCTTCAACAATTTAAAAGATGCAAAGAAAAATAAAAGTGACAGGAACAATTTATTCAGAGCTAGGAGATGCAAAATGATAAATAGGTTATAAATTTTTTTGTCTACATCAACTATCTCACATACTTAAATACTATTTTAGGCACCTAAGATAACAGAACACACACTAAAATTTGTTAATCGATTTAGAATAGAATTTCTTTTATTTATTTATTTTTGGTCTTTAGTCTTACCTTGTAGCAACAAGAGGGTAGCTATGGCATGGAGATGCCCAGGCATCTCTTGTCCATGGCATGCAATCATAAAGCAGCAAGTCCTTCTCAGTCACAGCCATGAGGACAGGTCTCCATTGTTGTCTCCCACCATCTAGCTTTGCCTGTTACAATGGTGAAATCTAGAATCAGATCTAATAATGTCTTTGTAAAAATTTCTTCAGTGATGTACTAACACAGTGGGTCTCCATTTTGTTTCCCTCTCCTAACAGACCTGAGATATAGAAAACAATCTATCAGGTTCCTTCCCACTGGTAAGGATTCTCCACTGGGAAGTGTGGGTGGTACATATATTTGAAAAAGCTCCCCACAGCAAGTTACAGACGATCTAGTGATATGATATAGTTTTCCCCATTCCATAATAATTGATATTAATTATAATTAAAGACATAGTAATTTTTTCAAAATATAACAGTTTCAGTATATCTGATGTTTGAATGACATCTAAGCACAGGACAGAAACTCCTGCTACCTATTTCACTAGTAGGGTAGAAAATCTTCCTTCTAAATAAGTATACATAATCTAAATAGCAACATTTTGAAATGCTTTTGATTAAGACATGCAGTAAGAAATAAATTTTACATTGCAATCCAATACACACATACAATATAAGTAAATGTTCTATTTTCCAATATATTTTGGAATATATTCTGAAATAACACTGTATTTTGTGCAATGAACTCTAATAATTTCTTTTATTTTTTTAAAAAATACTGATAATGTACATATATGAAAACACCACAATAAATTCCACCATTGTATATATCCACAAGAATAGGATCCTAATTAGAATAAGATATGTTTCATGCTTACATAATTATATCAAAATGGATTCTACTGTCATGTATAACTAAAAGGAATCAATACGAAAAATACTGATCATGATCTACTATGTTGTATTTTGGAAAACACTGATATAAGAGTTCTTTATTATATTTTCAGAAGCATATTTTTCAAAGTGGTACCACTTCATTTGCCTGTATAAAGCTTTGTTATCTATGTAAGGGTCTAAAAATGTAGGAAAAATATAGGTGTGGTGGCACATTCTTGTAATCCCAGGGACTTGGGAGACAGAAGTAGGAGGATCACAAATTCAAGGCCTACCTCAGGAAGACACTCTCAAAACAAAAAATAAAAAGGGCTGGGAATATAGCTCAGTGAAGAGCATCCCTAGGTTCAATCCCCAGTACTGTGGTGGGGGGGGGGGCTGGAGGAATAGGAAAACAACTGTGTATGTATATTGTCAAGGATCTACTGGGGGAAAAAAAAAAAAAGCAAAAGATTATGTTCAAGAAAAGCCCTGTTAGCTGAGCATAGTGGTATATGCCTGTAATCCCAGCAATTTGGGAGGCTGAGGTAGGCAGCATTAAGTTCCAAGTCAGCCTCAGCAATTTAGTGAAGCCCAAAGGAACGCAGCAACACTCTGTCTCAAAATAAAAAATAAAAAGGGCTGGGGATGCAGCCCAATGGTAAAGCACCCCTGGGTTCAATCCTCATTAGCAGGTGCGCCCTCTGGACCCTTGCCCCGCAAAAAAGAGAAAAGCCCTGTCACCATCAACCCTTTTGGCCCTCCTCAGATGAGACCTTTGATCAGGAACTGCTTAACTAAACTGTATTTTAACACGGATTCTTTAGCTCACCATCACTGCCTGTTTCAAAGAGATTTCAAGTTGATGAATCACTTGTCTCTTAAAGAGTTGTCTTCAGAGCCACTTTTCAATTTCTTTTTCTAAATGACTTCTGAAGGTAACCTGGACATCTTTTTTTTTTTTCAAATAATTTTTTAAGTTGTTGATAGACCTTTATTTTATTTATTTTTATGTGGTGCTGAGAATTAAACCCAATGCCTCCCACATGCTAGGCAAGTGAGCTACCACTGAGCCATAGCCCCAGTCCCTGGCAGAACATCTTAAGGATACATTTATAATCCTCAAGTGGCCTGAGTGGTTTGATTCTATGATTTTGTTTTGGTTTTGGTATTCGGTATTGAACCCAGGAGTACATTACCACTGAGCTACATCCCCATGCCCTTTAATTTGTTTTTTTGCTACTAGGAATGAACCTAAAGGTGCTTAATCACTGAGCAATATCCCCAGCCCTTTATATATGTGTGTGTGTGTGTGTGTGTGTGTGTGTATGTGTATACATATGTATACGTATGTATTTCTCTAAATAGAGAAACGGTCTCATTGAGTTGCTGAGGGCCTCGCTAAGTTGCTGAGGTTGGCTTTGAACTCATGATCCTCTTGCCTCAGCCTCCCAAACCACTGGGATTATAGACATTTGCTACCATGGCTGGCAGATACTTACATTTTTAGACTGGATCATGATATCAACACTTCAAAGGGATTTCTATGTTATGTTCACTATTAAATGTTGTCTCCAAGACAGCTATGAACAATATTTTAATAAGGAAAAATAACGTAAATTTATCTTCTAAAAGTCTTAACAATCTGCTTTTTTTTCTCTTTCCACAGTTTTTTATTGGAAACACTCTGATTTTAAAATGCACTTTTCTGGGCTGGGGTTGTAGCTCAGTGATAGAGTTCTTGCCTAGCATGTGTGAGGTATTGGGTTCGATTCTCAGCACTGCACATACAAATAAATAAAAATAAAGGTCCATTGACAACTAAAAAAAAGATTTAAAAAGAATTCACTTTTTTTGGGCTGGGGATGTGGCTCAAGCGGTAGCGCGCTCGCCTGGCATGCGTGTGGCCCGGGTTCGATCCTCAGCACCACATACAATCAAAGATGTTGTGTCTGCTGAAAACTAAAAAAAAATAAATATTAACATTCTCTCTCTCTTAAAAAAAAAAAAAAGAATTCACTTTTTCCCCAAGTTACAAGAGATTTTGAAGGCTAAACCAGAGTATTGCATTTGGAAAACCTAAATCAAATTTATTTATTTTTTCCCAATAAAGGTATTTTTTTTTTTTTTTTTTTTTTTTTAAAGAGAGAGAGAAAGAGAGAATTTTAATATTTATTTTTTAGTTTTCGGCGGACACAACATCTTTGTTTGTATGTGGTGCTGAGGATCGAACCTGGGCCGCACGCATTCCAGGCGAGAGCGCTACGGCTTGAGCCACATCCCCAGCCCCCCAATAAAGGTATTTTGAGATCTAAAGGAAAAATGCTAATATCAAGCTTAACTAATAATTTTTTAAAACTGTTTATTCCTTAGCACTTTTAAGTCCTTAAATTATAGATAATATGTTTTCCCTCTTCTATTCACCACTGGAGAAAAATGAAATCTCAATTTTTTAAAAAATATTTTTTTAGTTGTTGATGGACCTTTCTTTTATTTAGTTATATGTGGTGCTGAGAATCGAACCCAGTGCGTCACACATGCTAGGCAAGCACTCTACCACAACCCCAGCCCTCAAATCTCAATTTTAATCATTCTGTTCGACTATGTGCCTTAACTTTTAAGGATACTGTTTGTTTTCAATGGAGTAAAAAATGCTGCCTATTATATATAGTATGTCTTTTGGGTTGTGGTATCAGCACAAGCAGCCTCCATTACTGTGAGGTTTTGGCTAGAGCAAAAAGGGATACTAATATTAGGGTTTCGATTTGTTTGTGTTTTAGCACCCAAACATACATACATTTGGCAGAACAACTATCTTTTCCAAATTTTATTTTTCTAATAAATAGAGATGGATTGCACTAAAGATAAAAAAATACTAATAGCTATTATTCATTCTCTAAATCCCTTAATCCTATAAATATTTCTTTGTGAAAGGTGAATGTACTTTTGTTCTTTATTACAGTAGAAAACAGAACAAAAACAAAATAAACCATTCCACTAATCCTGATTTAGTGTATATGTTCCTAATTTGAATCTTTGTACAATTTGCCATTTATCATGAACAAAGGAGGAACTGTTAAAGCTTTTCTTTGATTGACTTGGATTTTCTTATCAGTACCAAAGTGCTGCTAGGGCCAGTGGTACACACTTATAATCCCAGTGACTCTGGAGTCTGAGGCAGGAGGATCACAAGTGCAAGACCTGTCTCAGGAACTTAGCAATGCCCTAAGCAACTTTGCAAGACTATGTCTCAAAATAAAAGATAAAAATGGTTGGGGATGTGGCTCAGTAATTAAAGCCCTGGGTACCAACCCCCAGTACCCCAAACCCAAACCAAACCAAACCAAACCACCAAAGTGCTTTAAAAAAAAAAAAACTAATTATATGGGTAATACATGACTTCCCTTCGGTGAACTGAAAGAAAATTCTCTTTTAAGAACATTATCAGACTGCAAAAACAGACAACAAAAGCAAAACTATGGGAGTGAATCAAATTAAGAATCTTCTGTTGGGGCTGGGGATGTGGCTCAAGCGGTAGCACGCTCGCCTGGCATGCGTGTGGCCCGGGTTCGATCCTCAGCACCATATACAAACAAAGATGTTGTGTACGCCAAAAACTAAAAAAAAAAAAAATTAAAAAAAATTCTCTCTCTCTCTCTCTCTCACTCTTTCTTAAAAAAAAAAAAAAAAAAGAATCTTCTGCACAGCACACTAAACAACAGATTAAAAAAATAACACACAGATTGATAGAAAATATTTGCCAATCATTTATCAGATAAATATACAAGAAACTCAAACTACTCATTAAAAACAAAATAACTCTTATTAAAAAAATGGGCAAAGCTAGGGGTTTAGTTCAGCGGTAGAACATTTGCCTCGCATGTATGAGGTTCTGGGTTCAAACGCCTGCACCATATACATACACACAAAGGTAAAGACTTGACCAGCCATTTTTCAAACCAAGACATATAAATGGTTGACAAATATATGTGAAAAAATGCTCAACATCTCTAAGCAACAGGGAAATGCAAATTAAAACCACGATGACATATCACATCTGTTAAATTATGTATTATCAAAAGGATGAAAGTAAGCACTGGCAAGGAAGTGAAGAAAAGGGAACCCTTATACACTATTGATGGGAATGTAAATTAGTATCGCCATTATGAAAAATAACATGGAGGTTCTTCAAAACTAAAAGTAAGCTAGACATGGTGGAGCACACCTGTAATCCCAGCAGCTCAGGAGGCTTGAGGCAGGAGGACCGTGAGTTCAAAGACAGCCTCAGCTAATTAGCATATCTCAAAATAAAAAAATAAAAAGGGCTGAAGATGTTAAGTTCCCCTAGGTTCAATCCCTAGTCCCAACAAACAAACAAACAAAAACTACAACAAAAAACTAAAAATAGAAGTACCATTTCTGGGTATTTACCCCAAGGATTTGAAATCAGTCTGCACTCCCACATGTATTGCGATATTATTCATAAAAGCCAAGACACGGAATCAACCTATGTGTCTATCAATGATGAATGAATAAAGAAAATATGGTACATATACACAATAGAATATTATTCAGCCCTAAGAAGGAAATTGTCATTTGCAACAACATGGATAAACCTGGAGGACATGATCTCTAAAAATATACCAGGCACAGAGACAAATATTGTATAATCTCACTTATATGCAGAATCTTAAAAAGTTGATTTCACTAGAAGTAAAGACTAGAATGGTGGTTACCGGAGGCTATGGGGCAAGGAGGTAAGATGTTAGTAAAGGGGTACAAAGTTTGTTAGAAGGATTAAATTCTAGTGATCTATTAAAAAGCATAGTAACTATCGTTAATAATAAAGTAGTTATATATTTAAAAATAGCTAAGAGAGGATTTTAAGTGTTTACACCATGAAGAATTTATAAATATCTGAAGTAATGAATGTGTTAATTAGCCTGATTTGATTATTTCACAATATATGCATATATTGAAACATCATATTTGATACTCCATAAATATATAATTATTATTTGTCAATGAAGCTATGTAAACACAAACAATTTTTTAAAAGAATATAACCAATGAATTGTAAAATATCAGTCACATAAAAATCAAAGTCAGGGCTGGGGTTGTAGCTTAGCAGTACAGTGCTCATCTAGCACATGTGAGGCCCTGGGTTCAGTCCTCAGCACCTCTTAAAAACAAATAAATAAAATAAAGATGTTGTGTCCAGTTATAACTAAAAAATACATATTAAAAAAATTTTTTAAAAATCAGTCAATAAGAGTTGAGGATGTGGCTCAAGCGGTAGAGCGCTCGCCTGGCATGCATGCGGCCCGAGTTCGATCCTCAGCACCACATACAAACAAAGATGTTGTGTCCGCCGAAAACTAAAACAATAAATAAAAAATTCTCTCTCCCTCTCCCTCTCTCTCTCTAAAAAAAAAAAAAAAAAAAAATCAGTCAATAAAAAGATGGAAATCCCTGTATATAAGAACAGGTTTTCTATTGGTTATCAAATATGCATAGCATAGGTATTCCCTGTTTAAAGCAAACACAATGTATGAAAATGTGAGTAAAAAAAGATAAGGAGAAATAATTTAAAACAAATGATCCTTTCTTTCTTTTTGGTCCTAGGGATTGAATCCAGGGATGTTTAATCACTGAGCCACATTCTCAGCCCTTGTTATATTTTATTTTATTGAGGGGAGGGGGCCAGGGATTGAACTCAGAGGCACTTGGCCACTGAGCCATATCCCCAGCCCTATTTAGAGAGAGGGTCTCACTGAGTTGTTTAGCACCTCACTGTCACTGAGGCTGGCTTTGAACTTGCGATCCTCCTGTCTTAGCCTCCCAAGCTGGTGGGATTACGGGAATGCACCACCATGCCTGGCCCTTCCTAAATTACTTAGGGCCTGGATAAATTACTGGGGCTGGATTTGAAGTCTGGATCTTCCTGCCTCCACCTTCTTTGCCACTGGGATTACAGGGTGTGCCACTAGGCCCAGTATCCTTTCTAATTTCTCTGTTTAAAATAACTCTTTGTTTGTGTGTGTGTGTGTGTGATGCTGGGGATTAAACCCAGGGCCTTGTGCATGCATGACAAGCAGTCTATCTTTTCTAAGTGCAAAAATTTCATTTATATGCAAGCTTTTCAAGAAATACAAAATAAGTATTTGCCAACATTAAACAGATTACATGATCCAGATTTTTTCTGATCATTTTCCCATGTAGAACAGGATTGGTATTTACCTAGTTCAATGTTTATTAGATACGTGAACTCATTACTTCTGAGAAATGGCATTCAGTCTTGTTTGAACAACTTATTCTGAGAATAAAATTTGATTTGAGTACTTCAAAAAATGTAAATCAAGCCAGGTGTGGTGGTGTACTTCTGTAATTCCAGCAACTCTGGACGTTGATACAGGAGGATCCCAAGTTCAAAGCCAGTCTCAACAACTTAGCAAGGCCCTAAGCAACATAGTGAGACCCTGTTACAAAATGGCAAATAAAAGGGTTGGAAATGTAGCTCAGTGGTTAAACGTCATTGGGTTCAATTCCCAATACTTGTATGTATATATACATATATAAATAAAATAAAAATAAGGAGATAAATAAATAAAAATAAAAATCAAGAATATTTTAGAAACAGTTCTTTGAATTAGCATTACTATCTTTAGAATGGTTGAAACTTCTTTGCGTAACATTATTCCCAATTATGAACTTGTATTCTTAGACAATATCTTAAAATATTTTAATAAAAGAATTATGACTTATTTGCTGGGTTTTTTTTAATGTATATATGTATGCAGTCAAAGAAAACAAAATTATTGAGCATACACAAATCACTAGGTTAAGTTCCCTGGAAGCAATAAGGATTTGGGAAAAAGTATACTCCTGTAGTAGATCTTCCAAGTGAGTTGTGGAAATACACATAAATATAAAAAGCAGTTGTAATAAATTGGAGGCTCTACTTTTTTCCTTTTTAGAATAAACCCAATTAAATTAACTTAAAAATCTGGCAACTTTCAAACATTCCCGGTAGAAAACTAAATTATTACAACCCCAATTGAAGACACCTTGGTAATATTTATCAAAATTATAAATGCATATATACTTTGTGGTAGTTTTAAAGTGTGATCATAAATTCTTTCTTATTCTTCCTTTAAGAGACAGACCCTGAGTTCACTGTAGGCCAAGCTTAGTGATTAATTTCTAATAAAAGAAGAAAGCAGAAGTTACAGTATGTGACTTCTGAGACTGCATCATAAAAAGCACTATGGCTTCTGCCTTGTTCTCTCAGAAAACTCATTATGTGAAAAACCAGTAGCCATGTTTTCCAGGTCCCTCAGATAGCTCTACATAAAGGCTCACATGGCAAGGAACTAAGGACATCTGCCAACATTCAGGAAGAAACTGAAGCTTCAGTAGCCAAAAGAATGAATCATCTTTTAAGTGAACTTACCACTCTTAGTCAAGTCTGCAGATAAATGCCACCTGGCTAACGGCTTGACTCTGACTTCATAAGACCTCTTAAGATGGAATCATCCAGCTAAGCCCCTGTCAGATTCCTGTTGCCCCTAGAAACTCTGCTAGTACACAACAAAAAGGATGGAGAAACTCACCTCAAGGCCAAATCCTCCCCTACCACTTGTATTTCTAAATAAACTTTTACAGAAACACAGTCTTGCTCCTTTATTTTCATATTATTCATGACTATTTTCCTGCTATGACAGCAGAGTCAAATACATAGTTGTGTGCTATCTGGTCCTTTACAGAAAAAGTTCACTCACCCTAGACTAAAATCATGAAAATTACCCTGTGTCAGTAAGGACAGAGATGATAATAAGAACCTCTTTTTAATTATACTGTGATGGGGATTACCATTACAGTTAATTCTTCTAGTAGAGGTGATAATTAGCAACAAATAGATAAATTGTAGAAAGGAAAAAGGGGAGGAGAAACAAAAGAGTGGACAAAAAAAGATTTTTTTTTTTTAGTGGTACTGGGGATTGAACCCAGTGGCATTCTACCACTCAGTTATTTTCCTAGCATAGACCTTCCTCACACCCAGTGCTTTTTTCTTTTCTTTTCTTTTTTTTTGGATACTGATGATTGAACCTAGGGGTGCTTTATCACTGAGCAACATCCCCAGCCCTTTTTATTCTCATTTTGAGATAGGATCTTGCTAAATTGTTGAACCTGACTTTGAACTTAGAATCCCCTTGCCTAACTACCCCAAGTTGCTGAGATCACAGGCATTTACCACCATACTCGACTACCCCAGGCTCCTTTTTATTTTGGGACAAGGTCTCATTAAATTCCTGAGGTTGGCCTTAAACTTGTGATCCTCTTGCCTCAGCCTCCCAAATTACACAAATGTGCACCAACATACCTGACTCAAACAAAAGATTTTCAAGGTAGATGTCCAGGACCTAACTGCGTGATAAATATTACAGATATATGCAATGGGACAATGATTCTGACTCTGAATGGGGGCCAGTGAACTCTGTTCTTCCTCCTCCAGCCTACCTGTTCTGCCAGCCACGCAATGTGCTTGACTTCCTTGCTGCCTCCTGCAGTACTGGTTGCACCAAGCATGGCATTAAGCTCAGCCAACACCTGTGGGAGGAGAGCCATTATGTTGGTGTGGATAGCTATGAACCAGGAGTGTGCTGTGGCTGTATCCTTGCAGCGGAGGATCAACGTGTTCCTGCTATCAGGAGAATGTAGCTCTATCAATCTGTGTAGAAATAGAAAAGAAAAATGTGAGTCAAGTCAGAAGTCATCAAACCTACCAGTTTACCATGCGTAACTCCAAATTTATTTATATATTCCTCAAAGAGAGACACTTTCTCTTAATTTCCTAGAGTACAATTTCAGAGAAAACTACACATGGGAAGACAATCACCAGAAAGACTATTGGATCTACTGTAGTATGTTATAGTAAAGGAGCTAAGACAAAGGAATCTATTAGGGTCTTTAGTAGAACACTTCTTGTCTAAGAAATGTAAAGCATGCTTGTTGAATGTCATACGTACATTTGTAAATAAAGATGTGGTATTTTAAATTACTTAGATAATTCTGGTATAAGGTATTGCCAGGTATTTCTAGAAACGCAACAATTGACAAATAACAAGATAAAATTACCACTAACACTATGTGAAAAAAGAAAAAGAGAAATTAACAGAAGAACATGAAAATTTGTAATTATATATTGGTGTCTGGGTAACATCATATGATTAAATCATCTACTGAGTCTTGGCAGAAAAATATTTAAGAGATTGTAAACACTATAGCTATTCTGCATAGTTAATGCTTTAACTGAGAACAATCTATATGTCAAAAGTAACTTTTAGAAATTAACTAAAAAACTGTTTTAATGTGTTCTGTGTTCTAATAGTAAATACACATACACCTTTCAAAATGGAAAAATGGAAAGCTATTAGGAGTGTTGCCCCTGGTAGGCTAGAAATTTACAAACTACCAGTGACCAAGGAGAGATCTTTATTTGCTGCCTTGAAACACTGTCATCAGATTCTGCACCACCTGTCAAAGATAAGCAATTTACATATACACTATGATTTCTGCCTTGAAGCTGGAATTTCTCTTTTGCCAAATTTTTAACCCCTTCACAATTCCAAATATTTTAAGCTGCTATACTTTATATGGCAAACATTCATTTTCATTTGAACTCTGGTTGGTTTATCCTCTCTTAAATAAACATTTATTGATCCCCTACTATATGGTAGATACTGTACTAGACACTGGTCTTAGAGCAACCATGTCAAATAAGTAACTAAACAAACAAATAAAAGCAAAACAGCATATAATACTATAATAATAGATCACTGCACTAAAGGGGAGTGTCATCTCTGTTTTAATCATTGTATTGAGTTAATAATTACTATGAAAAACTGCTCAAATAGTAATTAAAGTAGCTAAGCTTATTTTAGGGTAAATTTACTTAATGACAAGTAGTTATCCATAAAATACAATGCTAGTTTATTAGATAACATTAGACTATAAGCTAAAAGCAAGGTATTTTATATTTTACTACTTATATTAATCTTTTTAAAAAATATTTTTTAGTTGTAGGTGGATACAATACCTTAATTTTATTTATTTGTTTTTATGTGGTACTGGGGATTGAACCCAGTGCCTCACATGTGCTAGGCAAGTGCTCTACCACTGAGCCACAACCCCAGCCCTACTTATACCAATCTTTTTTTTTTTTTTTTTTTTAGTTGTAGATGGACACAATACCTTTATTTATTTATTTTTATGGTGGTGGGGGGGGTGTTGAGGATCAAACTCAGTGCCTCACATATGCTAGGCAAGCATTCTACCACTGAGCAACAGCCCCAGCTTGACTTATACTAATCTTAAAAAGAAAAGTGGGGTGGGGTTGTAGCTAGTGGCAGAACACGTGCCTAGCATGTGTGTGGCACTGGGTTCAATCCTTAGCACCACATTAATAAATAAACAAATAAATAAATGTGAAAAGTATTTCTAAAACTTCCTACATAAGATGGCAATGAAGCATGTACAACTAACTATTCTACTCCTTCCTGAAATCCAATTAAAAACAACAGCAAAAGGGGATTACCTTTTAATCACATTTTTTGTTTGTTTTTGTACTGGAAATAGAACCCAGGTGCACTTTACCAATGAGCTATATCCCCAGTGCATTTTATTTTTTATTTTGAGACAGGGTCTCACTAAGTTGCAAAGCTTCATTTCAAATTTGGGATCTTTCTGCCTCAGCCTCCTGAGTCTCTTATAATCAATTTTAATTTTATTTTTAATCAACATGTAATAATTGTTTGGCTGGGCATGGTGGTGCATGCCTATAATCTCACAGACTCAGGAGGCTGAGGCAGGAGGATCACAAATTCAAGGCAAACCTCAACAACTTAGCAAAACCCTGTCTCAAAATAAAAAAATTAAATAAGAGCTGTAGATGTAGCTCAGTGGTAGAGCATCCCTGGGTTTAATCTCTAGTATCACACACATACACACACACACAAAAGTCCAATTTACAGGATACGATGTGATGTTTCAATACACATACCTTATATAATGATCCAATCATGGTAAATAGCATATTCATCACCTCAACCATTTATTGTTTCTTTCAAAAGCCTTTCCTCTAGCTATTTTGACATATCCATTATTGACTACAGTCACTCTATGTGCAACAGAACACCAGAACTTATTCCTCCATGTAACTCTAACTTTGTATCTGTTTACCTACCTCTCCAGCTTCTGGTAATCATTATTTGACTCTCTAATTTTATGAGATCAACTTTCTTAGATTACACTAATGAGATCATGCATTGTCTGTGCCTGGCTTACTTTACTTTACATAATGAAATCCAGGTCCAACTATGGTGTCACAAATTACAATCAATTTCATTCTTTTTTTTTTTTTGTACTGTGGATTAAAACTCAGGAGTGCTTTACCACTAAGCTACATTCTCAGCCCTTTTTAAATTTTTTGAGACACAATCTTGCTAAATTGCTTAGGGCCTCACTAAATTGCTGAGGCTGGCTTTGAACTTGTGATCCTCCTGCTTCACCCTCCAGAGTCACTGGGATTACAGGTGTGGTGCAGTTTCCTTCTTTCTTAAGGCTGAATAATATTCCATTGTGTATATGTATCACATTTTCTTTATCCATTCATCTGTTATTGAACACCTAGGTTAAATCTATTTCTTGTCTAATGTGAATAGTGCTACAATAAACATGGGAATGCAGACATCTCTTTGAAAAACTGGCTTCATTTTCTGTTCTTTCTGAAAAAAGCATCTCACTATATTGCCTGGGTTGACCTTGAAGTTGCTATCCTCCTGCTTCAGCCTCCTGAGTAGCTGGGGATATAGGCATGTGCCACAATGCCTGGCTAGATCTGTTACTTATTTTTATTTTTTACATTATTTTAGAATTATTATTATTATTTAGTACTGAATACTGAACCCAGGGGTGCTTTATACAGATCTACATCCCCATCCCTTTTAATTTCTTATTTTGAAACAGGGTCTCAATAAGTTGCTTACTAAAGGGCCTCACTAAATTGCTGAGGCTGCCCTTGAACTTGTGATCCTCATGCTTCAGCCTCCAGAGTTGCTGGGATTGCAGGCATGTACCACATTGCCTGGCCTGTTACTCCCCTTTTATTGAGTTGTTTTCTTATTTTTGAATTGCAAATTTTATTTATTTTAGATTCTATTCTAGCCCATTTATCTGATAAGTATTTTGCAAAGACTTTTTCCTAATCTGTGGCTCGCTTTTTCAATCTCTTACAATGTCTTTTGCAGAGAAGATGTCTTAAATTTTATTTAAGTTCAACTTGTCAATTTTTACTTTATGGATTGTGCTTTTTGTATTGAATGTAAGAAGTCTTCACCATACTTAAAGAGGATTTTTTTTAATATTTATTTTTTAGTTATAGGTGGACACAGTATCTTTATCTTATTTTTATGTGGTGCTGAGGATCAAACCCAGTGCCTCACACTTGGTAGGTTAGCACCCTACCTCTGAGCCACAACCTCAGCCCCTTAAAGAGGATTTTTAAAAAGCATAATACTACAAGCTTAGGAAGAACAGGAAAGGAACAACTATAGCAAAATTTTAGAAATTGGCAAAAAGACAAGGGAGTTAAATGACTTTTCAGAAAAGTCTGACAAGTCCCAGCCAATTCATGCTACATAATCCCTAAAAGGCTGGGAACTTAGTGGCACCAGTTACCTCCAAAAATGGGAATAAAGCATGCAGCTAATATAAAGTGGCTGGATGTGCCAGACACAGTGGCCTACAGCTGTAATTTCAGTGATTTGGGAAGCTGGGGCAGAAAGATTGAAAGTTCAGGGGTATCCTCAGCAACTCAATGAGACCCTATCTCAAAATAAAAAGGGTGCTAGGCGTGGTGGCACATGATGTAATCCCAGTGGCTTGGGAGGCTGAGGCAGGAGGATTGTGATTCAAGGCCAGTCTCAGCAACTTAGCGAGTCCCTAAGCAACTCAGTGAGATCCTGTCTCAAAATAAAATATAAAAAAAGGGCTAGAGATATGGTTCACTGGTTAAGTGCCCCTGGTTCAACCCCCAGTGCCAAAATAAATAAATAAATGAAAAGGGCTGAGACAGCTCAGTAATAAAGTACCCCTGGGTTCAATTCCTAGTACCACAAAATAAATAAAGTGGCTGGTGGAAAGTCTGTTTCAGGGCTGGGGGTTGTGGCTCAGTGGTAGAGCGCTTTCCTAGAATGTGAGAGGTACTGAGTTCGATTCTCAGCACCGCATACAAATAAATGAGTAAAATAAAGGTCCATCAACATCTAAAAAAAATATTAAAAAAAAAAAAAAAGAAGAAAGTCTGTGTCAGCACTCCCCATACCCTGTGGCCAGAGGCTACCCTACCCTCATCTTGGCAAAGGATTCAGTCTACCTTTATCCCACCAAACTGGATGGGAAAGACAGTAATGTCATTAGTTCAGACAGTAAATCATCAGGCTGAAAATTTTCTAAAAGGGCTATTTCCACCTGGTTGCTTTGATGCTGTAATCAGCATAATATCCTTTAAACACATGATAAAAGTTCAGTGGCAAAACCACTGACAAGAAATTTCCTATACTACTCCTACCGACCTACTTAGCACTAAAGAAAGAAATCAGTTCATCCTTCCCTATGCACAAAGTGTTTACCTTCTAAAAGTTTTTCTACCTCATACAGTTCCTGGGATAA